GTCGGTCACGTACCATTCGTAGGGCTGCTTCCAAATAAACCGTGAACAGTACCGGTGACAAACCATCGCCCTGGGGGACCCCCCGAGCTGTCTCAAAAGGTGCGGACTGTGCTTCGTTCACGCGAACTGTCAGCGCCGTGCCAGATAGCAGGTACCTAACCAGTCGTAAACCGTCCGCGTCTCCAATTTTCTCTTGCTCCATGACATCAAGCAGCTTTGTGCGGTTTATTGTGTCAAAAGCCTTGCTCAGGTCCAGCCCTAGCACGTAGATAGTAGTGTTGAAGCGTTCAACAATTGATGCCAGGATCCGTTTGCAAAACACAATGTCTGCGGTTGATCTGTTTTGACGGAACCCGGCTTGCGATGTAGATATAATATATCTATTATATCGCTCTACGTCAGCTCTGATCCGGCTAAGTGTGATGAGGGACAAGATTTTTCTGGCAGTAGTCAGCAATGTTATCGGACGCAAATTGTTCATGGGGCCTTTTGGTTTACCTGGCTTAACAATGCAGTTTGGGGATAAAATATCCAGTAAAACATGTTCGTTTTTTAGCCCATGGGCCAATATTCGAATTTTGAAGGTTCACGAAAAAGTACAAGTCCATGCTCATGGTCAGTCTACCATACTCTACTGGTAAACTGCACTGACCTGCTGTACCATGGTAGGAAGAGCCCATTTTGTGAAAAGTTCTACTTGACACGTGAGTTGCATTTGTGTCTGTTTATTAGCCCATGGGCTGATAAACGGAGGTGGGCTTATATTCGGATATAGGCCCATGGGCTTATATTCGGATATAGGCCCATGGGCTTATATACGCGGAATTACGATATGCGCATCTTTACACAGACATATCTCGTGATAATGTTTCTTCAAATACCGAAAAAAAATTGGTCACTAAAATGTTAGACTTTGTGATCATTAGACTGTATGGCTTTACAGTGTAGACGAGCTATGCGCCAGACTAGTAGTCTTGTAAAAGAGTACACGGAAAAGAAAAAAAAGTTAATTATCGTGTCCGTTCCCAAAGGGAACTCACGACGGCCGCTAACACCCGGTAAACCCTAGAGTACAAGTAGTGAGAAGATACTGTACGTACATTGGCCATGACGGTGGCGGCAGGAGTTGTGTGCCACGCTCCACTCTTGCCTAGGTAAGCTGCGTCTGGTTGTTCCCTACCTCTGGATCTAGCAGAACAGAGGACAGCAGATAACAGGACTCAGGGGTGTAGCCGGTCGCCCTCTGGGGGGGGGGGGAGGGGGCATGGCCGCTTCACCAAAGTATTGCATCGTCTCATTGCCTGACGATCATAGTAAAACGTGAAACTCAGAGTTGCGACACTGCTTCCAATCCCTCTCTTGTGTACGAGGCTCTGCCCGATGTGGGTGTTGAACACTCTTCGGACATGCAGTGGAGCATGCTATTTGATGATTATCATTTGTATCATAATGTGTAGGGTGACTGGTCCTTGTCCGCATGGTCATTATATGCATGCTGAACATAGGAATGTATTAGGAGGTGCAAGTGCTCACACTCGCAACAATCTCTTCTTCGAATAGCAACGGCTCCTCTAAGCAGTACCTTGTTTTCACTAGATACCCAATAGCTAGCAACAGCAGTAGCAGCAAGCCTCCTCCTACGGCTGCACCGATGATGTAGAAATTGTTGCCATTTCCTTCCTCATCTCCGGTGTTGGCTTCCGGCTGAGAACTCTCCGTCATTGGGTTTGTCAATGCCGCCCGTTCTGTTAGCGATTCGGTCGACTGAGGTGGGTCTGTATTGAGTCAAAGATTGAGCGGACACGGGACAACGCGAGCGTGACTCCACTGTTTGCGTAAACACCATGCCATCGTTTATTTATTTATTTTTATTTTTTCCTGAAAACCACAAACCTTCAGACATGTGAATGTGCACATATGCAGTGTACATGCGTATGTATAGAGAAGGCAGCACAGAAACGGCAGTGGTGGTGAGGCCTGGGCAGCTCGTCCGACCGTGGGTCTCGGAGTCAACACTGGGCAGGCGCACTGCATCTCATACTATGTGAGCATTACGCGTCAAAGCAGACAACAGTTTCAGAACGCCGAAGCTGTGAACCGCCCAACGATACACAACATGCTGGCTCTCGCCACTTTCCGAGCGAAGAGGTAGCGGAGTGATTAACCTGTGTGAAACGTTACTGAAAACAAGCTTCAACATTGCCAGCAAGATATGTACATACAAGACATACAGTCATCCACGGACATGAAATTGGTCATCACAAACTTAAAAAGTTGGTTTGAAGAATTTGAAAGCCATTAGTGATGTGGCAGCACTGTAGTACGCAGATAGAACATAAACAGACAAAAGAGGTGTGGACACAGCATTATGAACTGAAGAGAGATTCCCCAAGCAATGACAGGGGAAACACCCTTGCTAGTTACCATGGCGATACACCCACCTGTCATTTGCAGCGGCTGGAAGCTGGAGGTCTGAACCAGCCTATCGGTGCCAGGATTC